GATACATTTAACATCGAAGTTTACCAGCGAAGATTAATAAACAAAATAAACTATATTAAAGTATTTAGAGAATGTTTAATAACACTAAATAATTATTTTTAATTAGCATCGTGTCTCCTACCGTACGATAGGACTACCTCATACTTTTGTTAAACAATAAATTATTTTTATTAGTAATAGAAATTTATTATTTATGCCACGAAGAATAACGAAAAAACGAATAAGGACACATATATTAAATAGATCAAACTTGCCTTATGAAAATTTGTAAGAACACTCACTAGGGGGCGTTTCGGGCTACTAGTTTTTAAGAAATCTTAAGCATATTATAATGGTGCAAACAGTATACTCTAAGAAATAACGGGTCATGTGTCAGAATTTGAGTGTTTCTCTCCATATTGTTTTAATTATAAAAACCAAAAAACATTACATTCAGCCTCATTACCGAACCATGTGCGGTAATGGGAACCATCGTATCAAAACATTGAAAAAAGACGGAAACGTTACAAATGTTTATTCCTAAACTTGAAAACTTAAGTTTTTACATATGAATTATTAATTTTTTATTTATGTCTTATTTTGAAAATAGTTTGTGTGTTTAATGATAAGTTCGACCAGTTTAAATTAAAAACTTTAATCACTCAATACAATAAACCTAAAAATAATCATCTGGAGAATCTGTACCACAATTCTTTATTTCTATCAAATTCTCCAAAGATGATGCAAGTGTTATTAGCATTGTTTGCATCTATGTCATCGTCTCCATTATCGTTCGAATCTCGTTGAGCTTCATTTCCCCTTCACGCCATTATATGTTTCTAACCTTGACTAGACACGAAGGGATGAAGTGAAATTTTTTTTTTCGTATGTATTTTAATAGATGAGAGACTAAAATAATATATTAATATATATTATTAAAACAATAAGTTACATACAAGGGTACATATAGTCGAACAAATGATAGTGTTTTCCAATTAGAAAAAAAAATGTACTAAAGTGTTTTTTCCTCACACGATCAAGCATGTAAACAGAACAGCCACCATATTCAGAATTCGAAGTTGGCTCTGCAGCTGCTCGATGCAAACATCTGTTTGGATCAGTAACGTAGCGTAGTAGAGGCGGCAGGGCCAGCCCCGGGCGATAGTTTTTAGGGGGCGGAAAAATTACGTTTTAGGAGCGGCAAAATTTCACAATAAATAATAATATCTTGTAAGAATTTCAACCATTTTATTTCATATTTTCGTCCACCTACGACTCGGACCGATTGAAATGAGCACGGAATAGTGTTACCATCTGACTCGCCGTCTAGGGATATCGTGCTGAACAGGTTGTTTCTATTTCAACACTTGGCGGTATTCCATCTTTATTTAGTTGAACTAAATAAAGATGGAATACCGCCAAGTGTTGAAATAGAAACACACCTTGTGTTAGTGAATCAAAGAAATTAAGACAACACGGTTTCATAAGATTTAAAATTTTTGGATATTTATTTTACCGGAATCTAACCTTAGAGGATTGATTTATAAAAAAGTAAAATTAGTAAACAATAATAATAATTCTTTAACTTGGGCTTTGTTAGTTAAGCGCTTATTGTTCGATTTGGGATTTTTATCTGCTCAGTTTTCTGATAAAACACTTTCGTTGGCTGAACTTTACTTTCTGAAAAGTAAATATTGGACTAAAAATATTGGGCTTTATGCAGAGCAAAAGTACGGTTTCTTGGAAATTTCTCTTCTCCATAGACACCTCGTTGTTATCATAAAATTTAAATTGGAAGATTAAACCCTTGATAATGCAATTAGAACATGATATAGCTTTTTTTTTTTTTTCTTTAATGGAGGCAAAATTAACTGCAAAATTAACTGATGTTAATTTTGCCTCCATTAAAAAAAATCCATCTTGCTTTAATTGTTCTTTGTTAATTGTTTAATTCATTCATTCATAAGATTTTTATTCGACATTACTAATGTGTTAAGAGATTTAGACCATCTACAAACTTAAATAAATTTTGAAAGTTAGATTTGCTGCGTAACATATGCATTGTAGTTGTGGAAACAATATGAAAATACCATTCGCTATATTTACAAACTAGCAGACCCCGCCACGCGTTGTTGTGGCTCAAAATGTATCTATTATAAATGTATAACACTTCCCCTGTGGGGGGGAAATTTTACGAAAAATTTCTTCTTAGTGTACATTCTCTTGACGTACCCTATTAAAACGCAATCAAAAACGCAAAAAAAACGCATCTTAAATAGTATAAATAGAAGCAGAGTTCTTTACTGTAAGCCTTAATCCTGTCCATCTCCCCCCAGTGCGGGAAATTTCGACACGTATACGATATAAAAACACGTGCGCATCCGAATGCAGCGTTGTGTCAAAATTTAAAAGGAATCGGTAGAAACAAACGAACATTACATTTTTATTTATATAAATAGATAGAAGATGATTTACTTTAGTTCATTTTCACAGAAAAGCGTAATGCCTCGCAGAAAAGCAAACTTAGGGCGTCGTACTCGTAGCGCCATCTGTTGGACATAAAAGCCTTAACCTAGATTATATATTTTAATTTATATGAATGTTTAACGGAATAATATACAGCCTATGTCCACCCTGAGGTTCTATTCTAAATATTGGTGAAAGAATTTTTGAAATCGGATGAGTAGTTTCGGAGATTACCTGCTGCAAACAAACTTACATACATACATACATTACCTCTTTATATATTAGTATAGATATAGATGATTACGCAGTGCACACACGAGATGACTTCTCTTCGATATCATACAATTGAACCTGGTTTAATTTAATATACTAGAAAATAATACAAAAAATAGAAATTTAGCTGCGTTAACTTTACGAAGTTTAGAATAAAGAAAGAATAGTTTTGTCACTTGTATTTCATTCGACGTGAAAAGAGAGATGTTAAAAAGTTGCAAGTATATTAGTTGTATTTTCGATTATCTCTGATTGGACACAGACAGTACGTATAAGACAATATATTTTTCTTTAAAGTGTAGGGAGAATAGAGAAAAACGTATGAAAAAGATATTGTCTACACTTTTTGAGGATTTATTGCATACTCACCGGATACTTTTGTCAATTGTCTTTAATATTACTTCTTTACCTAATGATAATTTAATTTCTGTAACGTTATGTAAACTTTGTCCATGTCATGACATTCATTAAATATGTTACAATTGGTTTTCTAATTCTAAGCCATACATAATAGTGTCTCGAAGACCGTCTTTTCTACTTCTTATATGAAGGCGTTTATCAAATAATATTAAATTGATTTGTATTATACTTTATATCTGAACATCGCATCGATCTCAGTATATTTTATTACTGTAAATTTTATATTCATTTTAACGAAGTTAATGCATTGATAATTTATTGAACTTATTACACGTTCCTTACGTAATAAGTATGCTATAAATCTTTTTTATAAAAAAATTTAAACTTTTAAATATTTTTATATTATATTACTTCAAAACCACGTATTTGAATAATATCTGAACTTATTTCTTAATAAGAGAGCAATTATTTTTTTATTTAAAATTACTAATATTACACAATTAAGTTATTGTGCTTGTAAGTTTGTTTCTTCAACAAAGAAGTTGGCATTTGTGTGTGAAAACAAACAACTTGCCCGGTTATACATTGTCAATATAAAGACTTCTGTTAATTTTCTAATTAACGTAGTTCATTACGAAAGAAAAACCTAATTACTGAATTTTATTTCATATTACTTTTATTTGAAAATTACAGGTGTGAATATGTTACATCAAATAAGCGCTTATGATGTTTGAGAGTCACTGTAAATAAGTTAGCCATTTTTTTATTTTGTAATACCAACTTCCATTTACAAACACCTGTCATTTTGATCAGCCGTTTACCTAGTGACGGTGATGTGACGTTTACTAATTCTAATGAAAATTAGGAGTTTTCGATTGCAGAGATGATTCTCGGCACCGCAGGAAGATTGATTAAGACCTCCAAAAATTGACCTAATTATCCAAAATGAATTTCAAAGAATTTAAGATTTTGATATGTTTTACATCCGTTAACTAAAATTACTAAAATTATATTAATCGTAATTATAAAAAAAGTATTACAATAAAGAACCGTGATTTCATACTCTTGAATTTATAAAATTTTGTAATGTCAGTAAAACTCGTACGTAGTTATTTATCCATTTTTTATTAAAAAAATCAATTACAACAGCCCTTTGATAAAACAATTAAATTTCAAATTATAACAAAACCAGTTTAATACAATAAATTTATTCCCACCACACAAAAACCATTATTATAGTGCAGGGAATAAAACATCTGCTATCTACACGAAAATACTCTATTTTGCTTGGAATAATTGATAAATAGGACGGTAAAAAGTGATGAGTAACGTATTTCACTAAAGGAAACACTTCGCTAAATGCTCGAGTTGCTGAATCCATGCACTCTGTACACGCATCATAAAAAATATATGCGAAACATTTCTTCTGTACCATTTTTAGTTCACAATATTTCAGATTTTTTAATTTTTCTTTAATAGTCGTATAACCAGTTTCACCTTCATAAATATAAACAGGAAAAGCATTCACTTTCTCACCATGAAATAGTGTGAGCCTGTATACATTAAGATGGGCTTCGGAATATTCAGTTTCGAACGAATATACTGTAATATCTTTGTAAAAAATAACGCACTTTTTTTGTCCGTCCGGTATATTAATTTTGTGGCATTCATATTCTATTTGCTTTATCAAGTCTGACTTGTGATAAAGTATAGGTTCTCTTCCACGTAGAGTGTACGAATAATTAAAAATATTAAAACCTGGAATGTTTGGAAACATTGATATTTGTATTTCGGTTTTGTCGGTTGATGAGTACCTATAATGTGCAAAAAAAAAGTTTCTAGCAGAGTTTCCTGGAATTAAAAACGTGATTGTTATTAATAATTAATAGATAATTTCAAACTTACATGGTACAGCTACTTACGATTGTATGAATGCATAAAGTACGTATACTTATGACTTGGAATAGGCTCAAGTGTAGGTGTTTTGAATCGGTTAAGATCATCTGTAGTCAGAACTGGACGATCAGATTTATCTCCTAAAACGAACCAACTGTATTGAAAATTGTCGTCGAAACCAACGTAGGGACGTAAATTTTCCGATTCGTGCATTGCGGTGATTATTATATTAAAAGGAATTTTCTGTTTAAATAAATCAGAATATTTACAGAAAATGTAAATTTACTTACGTAATATGATCAATGGAAACTTATTTTACTGCAATTTAATTATTTTAAAAGTATTGTATAAATTTATTGACGTTAATGTTTATAAAAACTCTTCAGATCCTTTTAATTAAATTATGAACTTTTCTACAAATAAATATATAATAAATCTGTTTAATTGATAGGCTTTTCTAAATTTAAAATTAAGATTTCAATAAATACGAAATTAAAAGAATAGTCAATTATTGCCGTTTCATTAAACATTTTTTAAATCAGGAACATAATTACAACTTTAAATGACATATGAGGATGTCGTAAAAATTATATTGGTGCCAAAACACCACATTTTTACGCCATTTCCGTAAAATACATAAAAACTTACATCCTTAAAAGGACAGTCTAAATCATCTATTAAAAGCTACACATCGTTGTCCTATTGATGAAATTGAAGTTTAATAATATAGACAAATGAAAAAACACCTCACATAAAGAAACGAACTCTAAGGAAAAACACAGCACTAAATCCATTGATGACTGAAAAATCTACAAATGTTTAGATTCAGAAAGAAAGAATTCACAATTTTACGCTCAAATCATACAAACTCTACCAAAATTAAAAAGTAAAATTCGTCATTTGATTAATATTTTCTAAACTGAATTTCATAACTTAGAAACTATTTATTTTAATCGAATTTGGAATTTTGAACGTTTGTAGCAATTATATAATCATAGCATTAAATCAACAAAATAATGTTATAATAATTACCCTTGTCATCATTGTTACTCGGTGATACATTATGTTTTCGATGATATCTCTCCATTTGGTACACACTTGCCTGCATACATCTAATTCTCCATCTTTCAAGTATTGAAATATATGAATTATTATTTCTGGCAATTCTGTGATTAAAGTGCAGCCACGTGGCGATATTGCACCTGTTTCCGTTGTTTTTTCAAGTGTGGTTTCTGCCATTTTGGAAATTCTGTGTAAAGAAAAAAAATAGTTTATTAACTTACAAGGACAGTGCTAGTTCAGGTTTCCGATTCGAATTGTAAGTTGGTTAACGTGTAACACTAAACACAAACAGCTCCTTGTCCTTGATTTTTTTTTCTTTTTATAATTGTCTTCTAAAATTGTCAATAGTTGATAAGGGGCCTTACAGAGTTCAGCTTAGGACATCGAAATACTTAAATCCGACCCTTGTCCAGCTAATAAGACTCACTTCTGAAACGTTTTCGATAAACGTGCCAGTGAAAATTGATTGTTTATATAGTGTTTCACTTGTAAATTCGATCCTGATAGGACAATGTCAAATACTGATGTTAACACAAAAGGGCACAAATTCTGTATAGAACGATCTCGCTCATTTGTTTCGATAACACATAATGACGTCTATCGTTAGCAACAATTGTTCTCCTTCTATAAAATTTATCAATAAACAGCTACAAGAAGCATATATCGTTATATTGGACAGTAATATATGACTAATTTTACATTACTAGTTATAAGCGACCCAGATAAAGTAGCCATTTTGTAAAAATGCAGCGCTTTCTATAGTTCGTGAAAAAAGCGAATAGTTTTATTTACTCCTAATAATACAGGAAGCCATAGTCTGATTTTTTTTCTTTTCTAAAATTGTCAATAGTTGATAAGGGGCCTTACAGAGTTCAGCTTAGGACATCGAAATACTTAAATCCGACCCTATGTCCCATACAAAATTACTGGCATTTTAAACTTTAAAAAAATATGTTTTAAAATAACAGCATGACTTGTTCGTGTAAAGCTGGACAATCGAGAAACTGCCAATTCTTAACAGTCTAATCCACTGTTTTAGAATTCGGAGAAGCTCAAATATAACCGACCGATTTCCGAATAATCATGTTTTTTGTATGGGAATAGACGAAAACTTATATTAGGCTCCCGTAAGGCTTTGAAATTGAAATTTGGAACGCAACAGAAAGCTTTGCTTTTTCTATTAACTATTCATCTTTACTGCTGATAATAGTTTTATTTTTAAACACCAAAGGGCAAGCATCCGGTGAAAAATGCAAATACCAAAGGGGAAACGACAAGTTCCAGAATCGTCCGGTGCTTATCTCGTAAGCAACGACTACAGTATATTATAATATATCACGTGACCAGACACACCCAGAAATGTTACGTGACACTCTTGATAAGCGTCTGCCGTACAATGTGCCGCTCTTCGCCACGAAAACAAGCTTAAACAATAGTGGCTGAAACGGTATAATTTTTTGTTCATAGCGTTTTTGAAATGAATTTCCCCTCACATATTTTGGGTGTTTTGAACATGTCTAGCATGTATAGTAAATAAAATTAAGAGAAAAATTATGTATGATTCATAAAGCAATACCATTCCTTGATTATGTCTAGTCGTTCGTGGATACTTTCTTCGAAATCCTGATGAACTACCTCTCGACTGTCTTTTCTACACTAGCCATTCTAATCAGAGTAATTAATATATTTATTATTTACTATATATTATCGATCTATACCGTTACAGACACCAAAAATCGTAAAATGTTACTCACCTCATAAAAACACTTCTAAGCAGATCGGTCTTCTGTACTGCAATGAGAAAGCAGGGGCCGTATTCTGGTCACTGTCTCTTGTCTCTCACAAGCCGGTCCCTGATTGGCTAATCATTTGGATTAGCCAATCAGCGACCGGCTTGCGAGAGATGAGAGACCAGAGATAGTGACCACAATAAGGCTCCAGAAATGTGGACAAAAGAACTCGTTCCTGTTGTTTACTGCCAAGGGAGAAATTGCCTAATTAAGCGGAAACCCATCTGTAAACACTTATAAAATGAAATGTTAAAATTGATTTGAGTGGTTATTATACGATTATAAGAAAATAAAAAAATGAATATGTCCTAAGTGTTTGTAATCTTTAGTTTAAAAAATATATATATATTTGAAATTAACAGAAATATTAAAAGTATACCCTTAACTAATTATTATGGCTACTACTCTGTTTATAATTTATATATTTAGCACTTTTAATTTCGAAATAGATAAAACTTTAATTTAAAATTAAATACTTACAATTTAAAATGTTTTCAATTTTACAATTTTCCAGTATATTAATTCCTATAAAGGAAAGTAGTGGAATGGGGCCCACCGAAGGTATTTTGCATATTTTTAAGAAAACAATCTTGCGAGAAGTTATTTGAATGGTGCAAACAGTATACTCTAAGAAATAACGGGCATATGTCAAAACTTGAGTATTTCTTTCCGTATTGTCTTAATTATAAAAAGCAAACAACATTGAGCCCCATTACAAAACCACGTGGGGTAATAGATACCACGTGGGGTAATAGATACAAAACCACGTGGGGTAAAATCATCGCATAAAAACATTGAAAAAAGACTGAAACGTTAGAAATGTTTATTCCAAAATTAGAAAACTTCGGTTTTTGCATATGAATTAAGATTGAGCTGGTCATTAAATTTTAGTAACTTTGTATTTATTTTAATGCCATTCTAATAATCTACAGCCTAATTGACACACAAGTATAGAGGGGAAACAAGAACACAGCATAAGAGGAGAAATAGGGTATTTTGCTTTAGGGGAAAAGAAACAATTTTGAATTAAATTTCAGAAGTTATAGTGCTTAAGAGAGAGACAACACGAACAGAAATGAAAAAGGAGAATGGGAGGCTTAGACAGTTTTTAATATTTAAATGTGTCTAGAGGGCCAAAGAGCCAAAATCTAAAATAAATATGGAAAGTATACGTAATTTAGAGAAAAAAAAACGACATATGTCGGATGGTGTGTAAAATTATTTTTTTAGTAAGCTAAAACAAAAGTTTTGACACGATACGAGGTCTATTTTTTAAATAAGGTCCGATTGTGAATGAGAGCGAGAATGACGCGCGATTGCAGCAGTGTGCATGAGCATCTGCTTTCTGCATGCTTTGCGCGTGTTTAGATGCCATTTGCAGCCGTATCGTCTGTGTGTGTGGTGAACTGTAGAAGTCTATAGTGTTTAAGAAAATTGAGACATCCGCCGACTGTAAGATACGATCTGTTATTCGATTTCAGCAAGAAAGATCATGGCAACTGTCTTTCGGGACAGGAAAGTGACTTTGCTAGTGGATTTTATGACAAGAGGCACAACAATCAATTCTAATGCTTATTGTGACCTTCAGAAAACTCCGCTGTGCCATATAAGACGAGCGGCGTGGCCTAATGTCTTCCGGCGGCAGGCGGCAGATTTCTTTGAAGTCGGAATTTAAAAAATTTTTTAGCGGTATGACAAATGTTTTAACAAAAACGGAAATTATGTAGAAAAGTGGATAAAAGTATTTAGAATATGAAAAAATATATATATTTTAATGATATATACTGTATTTTCATTCTTATTAAAAACGGATCTTATTTTAATAATAGTCCTCGTATAACCCATGAAATACTGTTTAAACTCTGTGATAAAATGTGTTATTTGAAATTATTTATTAAAACATTATTCATAAATTATTCCTATTTCTAAGAAGGTGAAGGTCAGAGGTTCGAATCTCGGATTAGAACGACTTATGGTTAGCATGTATCCTTAAACACAAACAACTCTTTGTCCAAATAATAGTAAAGGTAATTTCATATTTTTCACTTAGAGACGGTGAAGTAATAAACGAAATTCGGCAGAGTAGCTTCTTTATAAGAGCACTGCTATTAAATTTTGGCAATAAAAGGTCGAGAGAGCGGGAAAATGGATAATCATCATATATCACATCTCCAGTGCGATTAGACTTAATGAAGATGTTATACTGTACTTGAATGTATGAATTAACCTGGAGTGCGAATTAGATTTATAGAAAACAATAAAATCATAGATAATATGTCTGATAAACACGCCAAACGATATGCCGAATTTTTTAACTATGTAAAGGCTATAAATAAATATTAAAAATTAATTAATTTGCCTAAAATAGGCAGTTATTCTTCCATCTCGTATTAAATTGAATAATGATAAATAATTAATTTTTAATTTAGACATTTTTAAAATTTCATTTGAAACTGGTTATTAAAATTTAAATTGGTAATTAAATTATTATCGAATAACAAAATGCTTACATTTATATAGAGAATATATATATATTTTTTTGACTATACATACATAGATGAGTCTTTGTCTACGTTGTCCTTTCACACGCTGTACGAGGCAATAACAATTCCACAGGCGAAGTCGACCTTTCTATGTAGGCTACGGTTCGCCGTAAAATGTAAAACGGTGGAATTGTTATTGCCTCGTACAGCGTGTGAAAGGACAACGTAGACAAAGACTCATCTATGTATGTATAGTCAAAAAGAAATATATTTTCTATATAAATGTCATAATTTGTCCTGGCAATTTTTTATTTTTTAACAAAGTGCTTAGTTTGAAATGGAATTGTAAATGCGAATAAAGCATAACATCTTTATTAAAGTATAACATCTAAGAACTACGAGGGGTTACCTTAGTGGATGAGGAAGTAGGGACAGTTTTAAATTATGAAAATTTGTTGAAAAAAGTTTCTAAGGAAAGTGTTTCAGACGTAAATAAAGTCATAGAGTTATTACTAAATGTTCCAGGCTTTAATACCTTTGTAAAAAGGATTATTTCAGTTATAAAGAATAAATGGACAGCTGTTACAAACAAGACCATCCAGAGCCGATCAAAGCGAAACTAAAATTTCCCTTTCAACGGTAAGAAATTTTATTAATTTGCAAAACATGATAAAAGATTATTAATAGCAACGAAATCACAAAACAAATATGAAATATGAGGGAATTGTATGCAAGTTAATGTCAACAAAATCTAGAATAGAAAATCAATTAAAGTCTGTTAACCGAGAGATATTTTCCATATCACTTGAATGGAGACTTTTTAAAATTTTGTTTTTGGCTTCATGGCACATCCTGCAAGTTTAACACCATTTTTTAAAAATATATACAGGTAACCCCCGTATAACACGGCACTTCTATAGCACGGATTCACTCTAACACGGTTCGAGAATTGGTACCATCCCCCGTATAACACGGTACTTTTATAGCACGGATTCACTCTGACACGGTTCGAGAANATAACATCTAAGAACTACGAGGGGTTACCTTAGTGGATGAGGAAGTAGGGACAGTTTTAAATTATGAAAATTTGTTGAAAAAAGTTTCTAAGGAAAGTGTTTCAGACGTAAATAAAGTCATAGAGTTATTACTAAATGTTCCAGGCTTTAATACCTTTGTAAAAAGGATTATTTCAGTTATAAAGAATAAATGGACAGCTGTTACAAACAAGACCATCCAGAGCCGATCAAAGCGAAACTAAAATTTCCCTTTCAACGGTAAGAAATTTTATTAATTTGCAAAACATGATAAAAGATTATTAATAGCAACGAAATCACAAAACAAATATGAAATATGAGGGAATTGTATGCAAGTTAATGTCAACAAAATCTAGAATAGAAAATCAATTAAAGTCTGTTAACCGAGAGATATTTTCCATATCACTTGAATGGAGACTTTTTAAAATTTTGTTTTTGGCTTCATGGCACATCCTGCAAGTTTAACACCATTTTTTAAAAATATATACAGTATAACAAAATTAAATTTGTAAGCAATAATTATTCCGTCATAACTTAGCTTTTCTTAGTTAATCGCTTATTGTCTGCTTTTGGATTTTTATCTGCTGTTTTCTGATAAATGGCTTTCGTTGGTAGAACTTCTTCAGTCTTTGTAAAATAATATCGTGCTAAAAATAGTCTTTATATGGAGCAGAAGTTCAGTTTCTTGGCAATTTCTCACTTGCCCATGGACACCTGATTGTTATCCATCATCAAATTTAAATTAGAAGATAAAATGCAATTGTAACTTAATAAATTTATTATTTGTTTTATTTTATTTTTATTAATAATCGCAGAATTCTTGCTTTAATTGTCCTATTCTGTATTTTTTTTAGAACATGTTAAAAATGTTTCGAACGAATGAATGGATAAAATTTATTTTACATTGTAAATGATCTAGTAACTTTATATAAATCCTAAAAATTAGATTTACCGCGTTAACATATTGAAGTACTCAACATACAAAAACAGAACACGAAAGCAGACACAGGTTTGATGATGTTGATGTTATTACTGGTTTAATTTAAAAAGTTAATATACTCGAGAATAATACAAGAAATAAAAATTTAGCTGCGTTAAGCTTACGAAGGTTATAATGAAGAAAGAATAGTTTTGTCACTTGTATTTCATTCGACGTGAAAAAAGAGATGTTAAAAAGTTAAAAGTATACTCGTTGTATTTTCGATTATCTCTGCTTGGAGACGTGTAAATTTGCCGACGTTAAAGGGAAAACAGTTTATCTCGCGTCAGAATGAGCCTAAGGGAAACAGCGTATGTGGGCGGTGGCGAAGGAGGCAAATAAAGTACAAGTAGTAATTCAAACACGAATTATTTATTGTATTTATTTTCAGGCACTTGGCAATTTTTATTATCAAATTTTATTTAATTGATACGTGTTGATATTATTTACACACGTTTCGGGCGTTTTTGCCCCTCCTTAGACAAGTAAAAACAAAAGTACATAAGTTACAACATTATAAAATTATAACAACAAACATATTAAGTAATGTTTTTTTAATTAATTAATTTAAATTACAGGTTATTGAAATATTAAAACCATAAATTTCCATTTCTCATTTTACTTGTTATCATGCAATTACAAATTTTTTATGGCCTTTAACACTTTTACAAAAAACATTCGGCTTTGTATTATCTAAAATGTTTTAAAAAACCTTTAAAATTATTTTATATATGAATTTTCTCTTATACACTTACTTTGATAACAATACAATAAATTACGTACCTAGTTATCCATTTTGCACTGTTATAAATTTTAACATTTTCAAATTTTACTTATACATTTACTATTGATTTTACAACAATACTAAAATATACATATTTGTCTTTTATCAAATCAAAGCAATTCCCTTTATACAAACATATTGTGATGACCTTTCCACCCCCTTTTTTCCCTTAGTTAAGCTTTCCCACTGGTTACTGTAGTCATATGACTAATAGGCCACCTTCTGGAAGCATTACTTTTTACATAAAATGTCTTTTTACTTAATTAAAATATCTTTTTTTATAAAAATTCTTTTTACACAAAATATTTCTTTTCAAGAAAATACCATTTTACATAAATTATCCCTTCTAAAAAATTCTTAATATTATAAGATATTTAGCCAGTTTTCGTTAATTTTAATACTTAGATTTTTATTTATGCATTTATTGCTTTTAATAATTTATACGCTTTCTTTGAACTTTTTATTAGGGGAAGGGAGGGCAGAATGGAAGGTTTAACTTTATGATGTAAAAAAACATAAAACAACATAATATAAAGCTTTTATTTTAATCAGACTCGACAGAGATCTTAGATGGTTAAAAAACTATGTAATTAAAAATAATTAATATTAAGCATAAAACCTATTAGGAATCATGAAGTAAAACCGTCAAAAATTCCATCTTGCCCTCACGCTGAAGGAAAGATGGAATACCTAAGATATCCCTACATTTTACAATTGACACACGAAAAACATCCATCTTTTGTGTCTGTACATAGTTCATGTGCCCAACCACAACACACTGGACACTGTACCCAGTCATCTGTGGGCGGTTCCACATATGGTTCTCCACGTAATACACAAAACCTTCATCTATCGCCATCTGCAGTTTCTTCAATCCAACAACCTCTGTTGCTCTTTCTTATATACTTGTTCACCATCTAGAAACAATTTCATCCTCAATTAGTTAGATAAATTGATAACAGAAATCAAAATAATTGCGCTTGCTACATGGAAACTATTTCATCTTGCCCTAAAATGCAATTTTCCATCTTGCCCAAATTCCCATTGCCAATAATAATATCAATGCTTTAAAAATCCTTAAATTTTTTCTCTTTTTAAATATCAATTCATGCAATCTATCCCTAATAGGTACTTTGTATAAAAACAAAATAGTAATACTTACCTTGTATGTATAAATAAGAACACTGCAAAAGTCCAATGATTGCATAATAATCTGCTGCGAAATAAGAAATACTTGCACAAGTCACTTCGTGGCACCAACCGATCTGAGTCGCAGTTCATAAATACAAGATATTCGGGTGTCTCTGTGTGCATGGAGATTTGGGTGCTTCGTCGCGCGGTTCGGGGTGTAGTTTCCATCTTGCCCACCCCTTCCATCTTGCCCTCCCTTCCCCTATATGTTTCTTTTTCTTTGCGGAGTATTTGTATATTATCTTTATCTATTGTACAGTCATTCATGGTGCAATGATTATGAAAGGCAGAATTTAATCTATTATATTTCAGATCTGCTATATGGTCTTTTAGTCTGGTTTTTAACTTCCTCTTTGTTTCTCTTATATAATATTTATTATTGCTACAAGTACATTGAATTTTATACACTACATTCTTAGTTTCAGTTGGTGGTTGTTGCTTTTTCTCATTGTCCAGCTGTTTTAATCTTGTATACATTTTTTGGTATGACGGTGCTAACTTAAAGTGTATATTACTTATTTCATTATCAATTTAATAAATAATTTGTGTTTGAATTATTACTAATAACTACTAGCACGATTTCAAAATACCAGAATGAAGTACAAGTGTTTTACAAGAATAAAACCCGTTTATTTGTTCGAATTCATGCTTACGTCGATATTGGACAATTCCAAAATCTCGGTGCTCCTGTGGACGAGAAGGATCACTGGACGATACAGGTATTCGGTGTTAAGCTGCGGCGTCCTAGGTGATCGGCGATTGCAAAACACAATCTAAATCAGAACTGTAAGCTTAATCCAGAGGAGACTGTCTTTCGAACTGAAGTTCCGATTTTTATATTTTTTCTCCCACTATTCGCATTTCGGATTGGTCCCTCGTTCCATTCCTCGCTTCTCGATTGGTCTCTCCTTTGTCTCCAGGTGCAAGACGAAACTTTTTCGGGTCACGGGATAGGTCCGATTCGAGATGTCCATCTGATACCTCTTTGTCGACTCTGCTCGGTGACTGTTTATAAAATAATAACACCTGAACTCATAACTCAGGCCGTTATTTACCATTTTTTGACGTCTAAGAATTTAATGCTAAGGGGTTAACGATCATTTTTCATCTTTCATCTATCAAAAATTCCTTTTTTTTTTGTTCGAAAGATTTATTTCGGCCAACATTTTATAGACACGCGAGTCAAAGATCTACCTGTTTATGAGCGCTCGTGTTAGAGTTTGTCTTCCGCCAAGACCTTGACAGATAGTTTGACACATATTCGAGCCATTCCGAGTCTCGTTGTTTACATCTTGTGTCGTGCAAGAATTTCACGGTTTTCTTGAGTTCGAACCTCGTCCGGGAACCCACAGACGGACAGTACGTATAAGACAATATCTTTCTTTAAAGTGTAGGGAGAATAAAAAGAAACGTTTGAAAAAGGTTTTGTTTATACCTTTTGCAGATTTATTGCATATTCAACTGATACTTTTATCAATTGACTTTAATATTATTTCTATACCTGATGATAATTTAATTTCTGTAACGTTATGTAAACTTTGTCCATGTCATGTCATTCATTAAATATTTTACAATTGGTTTTCTAATTCTAAGCCATACATAATAGTGTCTCGAAGACCGTCTTTTCTACTTCTTATATAAAGGCGTTTATCAAATAATGTTAATTTGATTTGTATTATACTTTATATCTGAACATCCCATCGTTCTCAGTATATTTTATTACTGTAAATTTCATACTTTTTAAAATTTTTAAACTTATTGCACGAGCATTATGTAATAAGTATAATTTTTTTTTTATAAAAAAATGTAAACTTTTAAATATCTCTATATTATACTACTTCAAAACCACGTATTTAAATTATATCTGAAATTATTTCTTAACTAGCTGCAAGGACCCGCTTCTCTGGGTTTTTATTTGTTCGTTCATTTGTATGAGTACAAAATTACTTAAATTTAATGACCCGTTTAATCTTAATTCGCATTAGGGATGGGCAAATTGAAACCAGGTAGCCGAATACAATTAAATGGTATTAAAATGTAGGAAAATATTTAAATCTAATAAAAAAACAGTTAAAGTAATTATGGTGTCAAGTAAAATATTATAAACAAAAATAATTTATTGGAATTTATAAAAAATAGTGAAGGGGCCCATATTAAATAGGTATATTAGATTATAATTTATAATATACTGGAAAATTGTAAATTTCAAGAAATTTTAATTAAGTTTTATGGATTGAATTTAAAATTTCTGTTTTGGGTGGTAAAATTTAAGATATTATTTATTATCAAATTGGAAAATTTAAATAGCCTATATCTATATATATAAAATTGCTTGTCCTGACTGACTGACTCACTGATTCATCATCGCCCAGAGCAAACCGCTGGACCTAACGAGCAGAAATATGGTACACACTTAGAATTCGTCATGAAAACGCACACTAAGAAGGGATTTTTCGAAATTCTCCCGCAGGGGGGTGAGGGAGAGCATTAAGGCTTAACCGGAACAACAGCTTCTACTGTACTATTTTAGATGCGACTTTTTGTTTTTATCTGCATTTTAGTAGGGTATGTCATGAGAATGCACACTAAGAAGGGATTTTTCGATATTCTTCTGCAGGCGACAGAGGGAAAAGATTTAGTCTTCATCGAGTACTTAGGTGTATTAAATTAATAACATTTCAGACATTGTTATAAATATTTTTATCTATTTCAATTTTAAAAATGTTCGAACCGTTTTAAATTTGAATTTGTTATTGCATATTGGTTCGAGTATAGAACGATTGTAAACGCTCCAGAAAATTGATCAAATTGAAAATAGTTTGTTTGATTCTCGGCAATTCTCTTCAGCGGTAGGTGTTATATAGACCTAACAATTACTATGGTTATTGAAATATTGAATGTAAATGGGGTTTGTTTGCAAAACCTCCGCGGACGAAGTCGCGGGTAACAGCTAGCATTAGAGTAAACAGTCTGTTTACAAAATAAAATAATCTTATATTTCATCTTATCATTATTACTGCAAGTATATTATTACTATAAGAAATCACACTTCAACACATATGCTTTATGATCCTCTGTTAACGGGAGTAACAGTAACGTAAAACACTAGAAAGAAAAACGGAAATGTAAGAGAGGGCTTTGTTGATCATACTATTCCTTTATTCCGTACTATGTAAAGTGGACTCGACTATAAAATTTAAATTCTGTTCTGATTTGAAGTAAAAATATTAAATAAGAGAGAAAAAAAAGAAATTTTCAAACGGCGACAACTGTCCTCACTTTTTCGTAGAAAGTCGAGCTGAAATGTTTCATCACAGAATTTCTTTTTACGAGGTTCAAACTCACAACATCCAGTTGTATTGGTTCAACACTGTAAGAGCGCTACCGCTGCTCCACCAAGCCCCCGCGAGATAAACCGTTTGTTTTTGTATATAACTATATGAGATTTGCAATTTGTAAAATGGAAAATCTCATACAGCTAATATATTTGCCGAGGCGTGTGTGTTGGGTTCGAAAATGAAATCGTTCTTTATCTAAGTACTCGAAATAATAAATTTCTTTTGACTTACACAAATCTCAACGTGTATTATTTTGTAATGGAAACATCGTCCTAACATTTCACACGTTCTTTTTTAAATATTATTTTGTTTAAATTAAAATAAACTTTACGTTAAAAATTATTCGTAGACTATATTTTAAGGGCATCTTGGTATAATAATGCTGCTGTCGTCTGTCGCATGTTTTAATATTTCTTTATTTTTAACATTTTTTAAACGATTAGTAAGTCAAAATTATTTTAAAATTTACTTCTAGTTGTTTTGCTATTGTGAAAATCTGACTATCGTATAAGAATTTTTATATTTCTTTTATCATTATTTCCGTTATTTCTCCCGTTCTCACCCCAATGTCCGAGGAATAGACCCCGGATAATGAACTGCGTAATTCGTCCGTCAAGAAGGTCATCCCTAGGACGAAGTCGTCCGAGGCGACCGCGGAAGAACTCCCCTCTCCCCGGGGCGTTTGTTTGTTTTTACTAATTGGTCACACCGCAGACACCTTGTAAAAGAGTAGTCTCCTGCGGGTGTCCGGTTGACGGAGACGGACGGGTGTTCCTGTATTGAGAGTAGACAAGAGGTCACCTACAAGGGTCACCCGTACGGTGAGAACATTACCAAAAATGGTCAGTCATCTCCCCAGGTGATGACGAATTTAACATTAATTGGTCAAGCGATGTCTGCATTGTCGTCACCCATGACGGGGGAGACTGTCATAAATCGGGAGAAGTGACAGTTTGCGTCAGAAGAATCCCCGAGATTTCCCACGCTAAAAAAGTATAAAAGGGGAATGATCGGAGATCTCGAGGCGATCATCGGAGGAAGAAGACTACAAGCGTCTACTCTGGAAGGACTTCAAGGTTTCTGATCGCCGACCTAAAGAGGTAAATACTTAGATTGTTTTTACTTCACTCTCTCTCGGTATACTCGGGACTTAGAATTTATTGTCTCTCGATATACTCGGACTTAGAAATTATTGTCTCTCGACTTACTCGGGACTTAGAAATTATTTACTCTTTACCTTTAGATAGGTCTTAGTCATATTTTGTGTTGAGGACCTTCGACTGTCCCACTTACGGGATAGACAGACATCGGTTGTCCGATATTGTCGCGACTCAAAATTTATTATAATCGCTTACATTTTGTTTAGAATTAATGTGTAAATTTAATGTATTTGTATTATTTTTAAGTTTATATTAAATATGTTATTCCTAATTTAATGATAAGTACTTCCGACATCTCATCACGACTTCATTACGCCTCCCACTCCTTTTGATAGCCATTTCCTGGCAGCCAAGCCGGGCTCTCCACTTCAGCCCCCTCGGTTAGCACATTATTGTTGGAATTTTAGAGGAAATGACGCGTTATCTACTAGGGGGCGAATAACGAAAAACCAGATAGATTTGAACCACTACGATAAAACGATAAGGTTTGAAATAGTTAAGGTAATATTTTAATATAATAGTAGAAACCTTTCATGGCACGACCAAAGAAATACGCCACTGTGGGGGAACGTAAAGCTGCTACTGCTGCGAGACAAAGGGAGAGACGTGCGCAGGAAACATTACAGAGAATAGCACAATCAACACGTGGAGGCTTGCAGAATGAAACTCATGAGCTCAGATCTGCAATGTTGCACAGGCAGGCAGAAGCAAAACGACACAGAAGACAAAATGACACAACAAGGCAATTTGATTCCAAATAATAATACTTTTTTTTACCAAAAATTTGTGTATACAGAAGTTTTATGATGGGATAAATGATGGAATACAGAATACAGCTAAAGAATATCTTCAGTCTGTAATACAGAAATACTATTTTCTGTGTAATGATCTGTTAACATTACTTTTTAACATGAAGATTTGTATATATTTATACTTGATTTTTTAATCATATTAATTCTATTTATTTGAACATTTTTGA